CCCCCCCCCCCCCCCCCCCCCCCCCCCCCCCCCCCCCCCCCCCCCCCCCCCCCCCCCCCCCCAGGCAGGCGGGAAGTGGTAAAACTGGATAAACCAAAACTACACAAAAGCACGCTGTGGAAGAACAATGCAGGTACAGTAATACCTCGGTTCACAAACTTAATTCGTTCCACAACTCTGGTCACGAATCGAGGCAAAATTTTTCCCTAGGGTTCAATGTAAATCAGGTTAATCTGTTCTGACCCCTATGAACATGGTCGCCAACCGATTCAAATTTTCCAATAAGGTTAATCCGTTCTGAACTTTTTTTTTTTTTGTATTTGAAACACAAAAATATGAAACTAAGTACAATATGAAGAGAGAGAGAACACTATTTTTGCTCGTCTCAACTTCTGGCATAGAGGACAGGAAGGCGGATGGGAAGCGGTTATTCGGAGGGAAGAGTCCCCCTCCATACAAACATTGGGGAGATCTTCTTCAGGGGTTTCCGCTTTTCTTTGTCTCCTTAGCTGCAGGCTCAGTTTTGATCAAAAATCTGCCCAATGTCACTTGTCTTTTCCTGTGCTGCATGATCCTCTGGAAATGAAAGACCATGTTACATTCATCAAATTTCAACATTCTGTTCATTAGTTATATTGGGGTGGTGCTTCTGGTCACCTTTATTACCGCTCTGCACTTTTTAACAACATGCTTGCTCTGCACATCCTTGTCACCTTCAATACCGCTCTGCACTTTCTTCTTACCACCATGCTTGCTCTAAATTTTCTTTGGAGCCATACTGGATATCCATTACAGTATGTGCTGAAAAGCACACAAAAAAAGCTTTACAGCAAGGGTGCACAGGGATGTACAGTACTATACAGTATGTGCTAAAAAGCTTTTCAGTACTGTAAGTGTCTTCACAGTACACTTTCAGTGTCTGTCTGTGTCCGCAATCTCGCCTACATGAAGTCAGGACCGTGTATCAGAGCAGGGAAGGTGGCCGCGGCTCGTGTTCCTCAACCGAAGCAGAGTTCATGAATCGAAGCAAATTTTTGCGAACTCTTCTGTTCGCGAACAGAGTTCGTGAACCAAGGTATCACTGTATTATCCCACCTGCACTAATAAGCAGGGTACCAGAGTTGCCCACAGCTTTCTGCCAATACTTGTGTACAGGATTTTTGTTTGACAGTAGTAGAAAGTGTGAACTAAGAGTGCTATGAGCACTCTTGCAGTCCATTGAGAACAGCTGGCCTGTTTTAAAATGTGCCAGGGGGTACGGTCATGGAGGCGGGGGGGGGGGGGGGGGGAAATCGAGAGCTGAGGCTGGAACATGTTGCACCCTAAATACACTCTAAATACAGTCATGGCCGAAAATTGTTGGCACCCTTGATATTTTTCCTGAAAATCAAGTATTTCACACAAAAAAGGTATTGCATTAACACATGTTTTGCTATACACATGTTTTATTCCCTTTGTATGTATTGGAACAAATATAAAACAGAGGCAGAAAAGCAAATATGACATAATGTCACACAAAACCCCAAAAATGGGCTGGACAAAAGTATTGGCACCCTTAACTTAATATTTGGTTGCACACCTTTGGAAAACATAACTGAAATCAGTCGCTTCCTATAACCATCAATAAGCTTCTGACACCTCTCACCCGGAATTTTGGACCACTCTTCCTTTGCAAACAGCTCCAGGTCTCTCTATTGGAAGGACAACCTTTTCCCAACAGCAATTTTAAGATCTCTCCACAGGTGTTCAATGGGATTTAGATCTGGGCTCATTGCTGGCCACTTCAGAACTCTCCAGCGCTTCTTTGCCATCCATTTCTGAGTGCTTTTTGACGTATGTTTGGGGTCATTGTCCTGCTGGAAGACCCAGGATCTTGGACGCAAACCCAGCTTTCTGACACTGGGCCCTACAGTGCGACCCAAAATCCTTTGGTAATCCTCAGATTTCATGATGCCTTGCACACAGTCAAGGCACCCAGTGCCAGAGGCAGCAAAACAACCCCAAAACATCATTGAACCTCCACCATATTTTACCGTAGGTACTGTGTTTTGTTCTTTGTAGGCCTCATTCCGTTTTTCGGTAAACAGTAGAATGATGTGCTTTACCGAAAAGCTCTATCTTGGTCTCATCTGTCCACAAGACGTTTTCCCAGAAGGCTTTTGGCTTACTCAAGTACATTTTGGCAAACTGTAGTCTTGCTTTTTTATGTCTCTGTGTCAGCAGTGGGGTCCTCCTGGGTCTCCTGCCATAGCGTTTCATTTCATTTAAAAAGTCGACGGATAGTTTCGCTGACACTGATGCTCCCTGAGCCTGCAGGACAGCTTGAATGTCTTTGGAACATGTTTGGGGCTGCTTATCCACCATCCGGACTATTCTGCGTTGCAATCTTTCATCAATTTTCCTCATCCGTCCACGACCAGGGAGATTAGCTACAGTGCCATGGGTTGCAAACTTCTTGATAATGTTGCGCACTGTGGACAAAGGCAAATCTAGTTCTCTGGAGATGGACTTGTAACCTTGAGATTGTTGATATTTTGCCACAATTTTGGTTCTCAGGTCCTCAGACAGTTCTCGTCTCCTCTTTCTGTTGTCCATGCTTAGTGTGGCACAGACAGACACACAATGCAAAGGTTAAGTGAACGTCTCTCCTTTTTATCTGCTTTCAGGTGTGATTTCTATATTGCCCACACCTGTTACTTGCCCCAGGTGAGTTTACAGGAGCATCACATGCTTGTAACATTCTTATTTATCCGCAGTTGTGAAAGGGTGCCAATACTTTTGTCCAGCCCATTTTTGGAGGTTTGTGTGACATTATGTCGAATTTGCTTTCTTTCCTCCCTTTTTTTGTTTTGTCCCAATACACACAAAGGGAATAAACATGTGTATAGCAAAACGTGTTAATGCAATACGTTTCGTGAGAAATACATGATTTCCTGGAGAAATATCAAGGGTGCCAACAATTTCGGCCATGACTGTATATGTGTAACATACTCCAAAAGGTGAACTTGGCCTTTTAACATATATTTTTCTCAATCAAAGTTCTTAACTGCAGAGCTTGGAAGGCCGTATGCTGACCTTTCCATGATTAAGGAAGAAGGGGTGGGGGGACACTTGACTGAGATCTCAGGGAAAGGAGTACAGATGCCTGTAGTGTCGTGTGCTGCATGCACGAGATGAAGCACGTCACATCATGCACTACCTCTTGTGCATTTGCAGTATGGTAGTGTCATGGGCATTTTAGAAATGGTCGTGCAGGAACAGGAACCCAGGCAGCACTGAGACGGGACAAAAAGTATGCTTTAAAAAAAAAAAATCCCAAGGATATAGGCAAGTATGATTGATTTGGTTTTTTGTGTTGTTTTTTTTTTTTTTTTTCCTCCCAGTCAGGTTGAAAATGTTTTATAGAATAGGAATGGGGGAATATTTTTGAGAAAATATTACACTTTTTTTTTTTTTTTTTTTTTTAGCCAAGGCAAACTCCCCTAGATCAGTGAGTGCCTCTTTAAACTTTCAGCATTGGGCCTCTGTTTTGCAAGGATGACACTTGGTCTTTTCTTCACATGTTTTCTTAAGTTTTACCTGGTGGATGTTCAATCCTCAGCTGATACCAGATTCAAACGCAAGTTCCTTCAGGCAGGTCTCTGTGCAGCAGTTTGGCACCAGTTTGTTTTACCTTGTTTTATGGGCTTATTAGCATTTTGTTTGCTGTGTTGCCTGACCCTCAGACTGCTTTTGGGATGTCCTAATTAACTCCATTCTTCTGACCTTGTGTTTCTTAAAGTGACCCTAAACTGGAAAAAAAAAATTCTATTTAAGTATGCATTCTTAACTCACAAAAGTACCTTTTTGTTGCTCTCGGCTCCTCCAAATTCCTTTTTATATAGTGGGTGTGTGTGTTAGTACTTTTTTGGGAAATTGTGTGTGTGTGTGTGTGTGTGTGTGTGTGTGTGTGTGTGTGTGTGTGTATGCATATAATTTATTTAACCTGTGCCAGAGATTAGATTTGAATGTCCCTTTTGCTAGTTTGAGGTTCTTGATCTTGGCTGTATATTGAAATAATGCACTCTTGAACCTTTTTCGCGACCTTAAAGTGGTTGTAAAGGCTCAAGGTTTTTTACCTTCATGCATTCTGTGCATGAAGGTAAAAAAAACACCTCTGTGCAGCAGCTCCCCTAATCCCCACTAATACTCACCTAAGCCCCCTCTTGATCCAGCGATGTGCACTGGAGTCTTGGCAATCCAGGGACACCCTCTCATTGGCCGAGACAGCTGTCAATCACAGCCAGTGAGCCATTGACGAGAGAGGGGACGGGGCCGAGCCGCGGCTCCATGTGTGAATGGACACACAGAGCAGTGGATGCCCCCATAGCAAGTGGCTTGCTGTGGGGGCATCCGACAGGGTGGAGGGGTCAGGAGCGTCGGTGGGGGACCCAAGAAGAGGAGGATCTGGGCTGCTCTGTGCAAAACCACTGCAGAGAGAAGGCAAGTATGATGTTTTTCAAAAAATAAATAAGCCTTTAATATCACTTTAATGTACTTATGTTTCAAATATGTCCTCCCTTTCCCTACTTCGCTTAAGGCTGTACATGTTAAAGTGGAACTATACTCTCTTCCACTCCAGTGAAAAAGGCCCACGGCTGCTAACATGTTCTGCTGGTTGTCTTATGGGTTCCCATCTTCAGGCATTTTGATTGGCCAGGCTGGGATGTCAGTTCTGTACATGCATGCAATTTCATGAATCTTGGCAGATGCCAGAATTGTACATTGAGCTATGCACATTATGAACAAGCAGATAAGAATACTGCTTCGTCACAAATTTTACAATTTTATAATTCTTGAGTAAAGTTCCACTTTAAATTCCTCCAGCCTCTCCTTTTTAGAAGTTTATCCCTCAGGCCTTTCATAATTTTTTTATTTTTTTATTTTATTTTATTAATTTTGCCTATTCAGGTGCCTCGGATCTGAAACCCGTGTCATTCCTTCTCAAAGAAGCTTTGGAATCTGTAGCCCATTTTCCTCCTTGTGTCTTGTATGCAAGACTGTGCCGACTTCTTGCCCTCTGTTGTGGTGGACCCCCCCCCCACCAAGACCCCTATATGACCGCTTTTCTGATTAGTGAATCTGTTTCCATCACACTGAGACACCAGTTGCTCAGTGACATTCATCGAAAACTGAGGTGAGTGATGCTTTAGTAAACATTCTTGTTATACCTTTTAATAAATTCTATTGGAAGAAAAAATATATAGCTTATAAGGCCTATGTTTGAAAGCTTGTTTGAGATGGAAATGGCAATGAATTATGACATATGCCATATTACCAAAAGTATTGGGACGCCTGCCTTTACACGCACATTAACTTTAATGGCATCCCAGTCTGTCTGTAGGGTTCATTATTGAGTTGGCCCACCATTGGCAGCTATAACAGCCTCAACTCTGTGTCTATGGGAATGTCTATGGGAATGTTTGACCGTTCTTCCAGAAGCGCATTTGTGAGGTCAGGCACTGATGTCTGATGAGAAGGCCTGGCTCGCAGTCTCTGCTCTAATTCATCCCAAAGGTGTTCCTCCACCCCAAGCTTGCTCATCCATCCTTTTTATAGAACTTGTTTTGTGCACTGGTGCACAGTCATGTTGGAACATGTTCCCACAAAGTTGGGAGTATGAAATTGTCCAAAATGTCTTGGTATTCTGACACCTTAAGAGTTCCCTTCACTGAAACTAAGGGGCCAAGCCCAACCCCTGAAAAACAACCCCACACCATAATCCCCCTCCACCAAATTTTACACTTGGCACAATGCAGTCAGGCAAGTACTGTACTAGCAACTGCCAAACCTAGACACTTCTATCGGATTGCTAGACAGAGAAGCAGGATTCGTCACTTCAGAGAACACATCTCAACTGCTCTATAATCCAGTGGCAGCATGCATTACACCACTGCATCCGACGCTTTGCATTGCACTTGGTGATGTAAGGCTTGGATGCAGCCACTCGGTCATGGAAACCCATTCCATGGAGATCTCTACGCACTGTTGTGCTAATCTGAAGGCCACATGAAGTTTGGAGGTCTTTAGCTATTGACTCTGCAGACAGTTGGCGACTTCTGCACACTGTGTGCTTCAGCATGCGCTGGCCTTGCTATGTCATTTTACGTGGTCTACCACTTTGAGTTGCTGTTGTTCGCAGTTGCTTCCACTTTGTTGTAATACTAACAGTTGACTGTGGAATATTTAGTAGCAAGAACATTTCACGGATCGACTTATTGCGCAGGTGGCAACTTATTGCGGTACTAAGCTTGAATTCACTGAGCTCCTGAGAGTGACCCATTCTTTCACAAATGTTTGTAGAAGCAGTGTGCATGCCTAGGTGCTTGATTTTATACACCTATAGCCATGGAGGTCATTGGAACACCTGAATCCAAAGATTTGGAGGGGTGTCCCAATACTTTTTGGCAATATAGTTTATATTAATTTAAAAGCTGCCTTGTAACACTTTTTTTTTTTTTTTTTTATTATTATTATTTCTAATCATGTAAAAGGTAGTTTCTTATTTATTTCCATTGTTAATACAGTATTCTATTGCTTGTTGTATTCAGTAAATGATCTGTATGTGATTCTTGCTCAGTTGAGATTTATTCAGAATGCAATTCAATGGGCCACATGGGCTGCCGTATCGTTTAGCTTAATTTTTTTTCATCTGTTGAGGAACACGGGAAGTCAGATACAATTGGGGGGATTATGCTGCTGCTTCCGAGAGGATCAGTCAAGTTGTAAGCCAGCCCCTAGTATAACCCCACCTCTGCCCATCATACCTCAGCTTTTTCTAGTGTCCTTGGAGGAATGTGTTTTGGTTTGAGGGGGGTCCTCCCCCAAGCTCTTATGGAAAAAGTCTAAGCAATCTGTGATGGCCTTTTTTTCGTTTTTCATTTTGTGGATTCCTCTACCATTTACTTCAGTCAGGATTTATCGTACCTAGGTGCTTGAGCTGGTCTCTATTTAGCAGCTATCTGTCAAATCTTTCAAATGCTGCTAGTGGCAATATCAGGCTCTACAATCACAGCTATGGTGTTTTCACTGAAGCAATCAATTGTACACTAGCAACAGGAATGCCAAACCGTGAGATGCGACATAAGATTCTTCATTATATATTTATGCGTTTGAGGACGCACTATGCCTAATGTGAAACATGGCAGAATAGAACATGCTCTTGCAGCTATTTTATTAATGGAAAATTATTATTTTGCATCTGTGTGTTGCGTTCCTGCTGCTGGTACAGATAGCAGCTACCTGGTTGGTGTTTTCTTGACCAGACGTGGGGCTAGCTTGGAATGTTCTTTATGGCACTGGGCTCTGCATTGTGGCACTTTCCTGACCTGAGTGTACTGGTTAATTTATCTGTGGAGCACTTTTCATGTTCAGAGCTGCGAACATGTTTCAAGACTTTGTTAGTAGTGCTAGTCGGGCTAAAGCATAAAGGGCTACCTCTCTAGCCACATTGTTGGGCACCCTTTTAAATTTCCTGGTACCCAGGGTAAAGGGTTCACACTGACTGCTGACATCACCAGCGGGGTTAGTGTCAATCGTGCTTCATGTACTTTCTCCCATCATTCAATATGGAAGAATCATCTTGCTAAACACTGATCTCTGGTCTGTTACCACTGACCAAGTGACCTGGTTACCTCCAGCTGTCTGACCCTCAAAACTACCAGCAATCTTGGGTTTTGTGATTAGGTAAGGCTTTGCAGTTCAGGCCTAGTTATATTGCCATTGTGCAGCTGCAACATTTATGTGCACAGGGACGCATAAGGGTGGTTCTGCTACTGCATGAGAATCCAGCCCCTACTCCTCTAGCAGTTCGAAGGAATTTACATGGTATCGTTTGAGGGAATCATTAGCTGTAATCTAGAACCTGGTACCCCTCTTATAGGGTTGTCGTCTTCTTCGCAGTCTTCCTCAGCTACATTGAGTGGGGCTTAGGCCCCTGCCCTGTCCTCAGGGACTTCTACAACCACTCTAGATTTTTGATGACTCATTTAACTTTGCACGCACATTGGCCATAAAGGTTCTCAACCTGCCTCAGCTCATTTCCCTGGAGAGCTTATCTCTGACCTGCCAGAGGTCTTTGATCTGGTTAAACTACTAGTCCAAGTGACCATATGTGACTTGGATTCAGAGTCCCAATAGTCTATTTATAAAGAGACTGGCACTGTAGTTTCCTGCTCTCTCCTCAGTATTACGGGGTTCATGTTGGACCCTATTGATGCAGCGCATATACTACCTTGCAATTGAAGGATCAACCTACTGAGTCTTTTGGACTTTTAGAGCTCCTACTGTAGCGATGAACTTGCCCCTTGCACTAGCTATTTGAGGCATTCCTCGATGTGTAGTGGAAGCACCCTGAGGGATCCTGGCTGTAACATAAATGTAAGATTCGAGTAGCTGAGATGTGAGGTGGTGATCAGTAGAAATATGTAATCCTAGGTCTAGTGTTCAGTATTCAGTCAGAGACCTATGTTCACCAATTAGCGTCTGAAAGGACAGAGCAGCTTCTAGGCTGAAGGTGACACCTGAATGCCAATAAAACGTCACCTATGTAGTCAGACTTTGCCACCTACTTGAAGGCTAAAAGAGGAGCTCCAGCCATTTCAGCTTCGGTAAGCAGCAGGAGACCAGGAGTGTCTGTCAAGCAATGACTTTTATCAGCAGATCAAAGGAAAATATTTCATCTCTCATGAAAACTAAAATATTAGTTGCAGAGAGATGACAATACTTCCTTCTGATTGGACACACTGTAGGCTCCATCTACATGTAAAACTATTTCTAGCATCTGTAGAATCCCAGAGAAACGCAGAATACGGTTATATGGTGCCTGATTGCGACAGCTGAACAGCGATTGGTACTGTCATGATCGGACTGATGTGCTGGTGTCGGACATTCTATCCCTGACTTGGTGATTCAAACCGTTCCTGGTCCAATCGACTTTGGGCACTTCAGAACCCAGAACATCCTGTGGGCTGGTACTGAAACACCCCCCAGGGTCGATTGGCCAAGGGCTAATGTCTAGCCCACGTCCATATTTCAATAAATTGAGGACCCTGAGATATGGACGGTGTGATTTGTACGGAGCCGGTTCTATTTGACTGGCGAATCCAGGACTTTCTCTGACTTGCTCCATTCGCAGGATAACTCTTGGTAAAACTTTTATTTCTGTATTTTATTCCCTTTTATAGTCCATAGCCAATTGTGTGTCTTTTTGCATTTTCCTTGTTTTTTCTTTCTACATATTTTATGCACTGCCCACTTTCGGGATATTAAACCATAAAATTAATAAGTGACTTCTGGGTACTTAAGCTCGGGCTCATATCTCCGGAGAGATTGTATTGTATTTTAGTGTCTTTATATGCTCGGTCAAATTCATTGCCAATCTGTATGCAATTGCACTACGTGTTGGCAGATTGTGTGTGTGTGTGTGTGTGTGTGTGTGTGTGTGTGTGTGTGTGTGTGTGTGTGTGTGGTGGCCCAGCAGACCAGTCTGCGGATAAACTGTTGGGTGGTGGCAAGCTACCATTTGTTGTGTGTGTGACAGTGGAAGAGTGATTAACACCGGGGTTCTAGCTTGTAGGATACCTGGAGGAATCCTAGAAGGGTGTTTCAATTGCTAGACTGCTCCCCAACCCTAATAGTGCACCAGATTGTATATAAGATTCGTATCTGCCTGTGTGTGGTCTGCCAGCTGGATTGGAGTGCAGTCTCCCTCTAGTGGTGGCCAGAGGTAGTGCAGGCTTTGAAAGTGCATCACGGCCGGTCTTCTATACTCAAAGTAAACCCCCCTCATTCCCTCTTACCCCAAGTCACGGTCGGACGTGCACACCTCTGGTAGCTAGTCGCTGTGGGCGTGTGCATGCGAGCTGGATCCGTGACACTGGCCCTGCCTGAGAGTGTGCTGAAAATGTTCCTTTTGAGAAGAAATTTGTTAAATGGTGGATGGTTCACTCAGTGTGTCACCTGAATAGGAGCACCCCTAATCAATTGAAAGGTGTGCTTTCCTTTTAAAGAATCTACTGACAAGCAGTTAGAATTCCTCCCCAATCCTAGCTTGGACTGATTGGTTCTGTCCTCCATTTTGTGTTGGCAATGACCTTAATCTGTCAGACTGGGTCAATTCCCTCTTAAGGGATCTTTCCTTAGTCAGGATGGACTCTAGTTTCAGAGGGCGGGTAGAAAAAATGTCTGGAGCCTTATGCTTCAGTTGTAATGGCTTGCTGCAGACATCAAAACTCCATCAGATCCATGGGCAAATGCTCAGTGTCCTTTTAAAGAAAGTTTGTTTTATTAAGCATGGTGGTCGGTAACTTCCCTGTGGGCCTAATTACTAATATAGCACATATTCTGGTGTGCCTTGTTTAGTGAGGTTAGCTGTCTGATTAGGCAACTTCCCTGTAGTCAGTTTTTTGTTTTTTGTTCCCCCCCCTCCCCCTTGACCCTTAGGATTGGGAGATGGTAGGCATTTCCCAGGTAGACCAATTTTTTTTTTTTTCTTCTTCTTGCCCAGGTTTTTGTATTAGTTTCCCATTGGAATCTGCTTTTTGTGGGGGTTCTCCTCACTGTTTTGTTCAGTTAGACACCTGTGATTGGTGGGTTTTGGTTGATCAACTTCTCATTTTTGGTTTCTCTTCTGTGTGGAGTCCTTTTTTCTTCTGGTGACCTTCTCCATCTTGGTCTAGAACAGTTTCTCAACCTTTTTTCAGTCAAGACACCCTTTAAAATTATGGCCAGTCCTGAGGCTCCCTTTAAAATTAGGGACAGTCTTGAGGCAACCCATTCTAAAATAGGTGCCTCAAGACTGTCCATAATTTTAAAGAAGCACCCCATTATAAAAAGTGAGAAACTATTCTAATAGTTTTTTTTTTATATTGCAGCAATATCCACACATGTAGGACACCCAACATTAGAGGTGATTTATTCTTCCAGAGCAAATACACTTTTGCACATTGATACTGGCTAGTATTCCAGTGTGTCTCTTCTCCCTCAGTTTTTCTCCATCACTGAGCTAATGTGATCCCAGCACTGATGAAGAGGGGCAGGGGAGAGTCGAACAAGGATGCTGTGCAGGCAGATGATATCCTCAACTGATGTCATTGGTTGTCATGATGCCGGTGGCTAGAAGGTCGTAATGGTGCACAATGAAAACCTATTGTTTTGTGTATTCAATAGAAAGGATGGGACTTTCAGGGTGCATGAATATGAATACCAAACATATTAAAAAGATATATAATTTTAGTTCATATTTTTAAAACAAATAAATACAGAAACCAAAAAACAATTTCAGTACTAAGCCTGGAACTGAAAATTCAAACTTGATTATATAAATGTAGTTACTCCCTACATGTTTCGCCCTAACGGGCTTCTTCAGGGGAGATTTTTGAAGAGATTTCAACTGCCGAGGCAGTCTAAAAGTATATAAAAAAGTTTTTATAATACCAAAACAACTTTTTAATATATCCAATACAAACAGTGTATCAAATACACCATTATTTCCTCTATTACGGTTTTGGACGTATAGGTAAATTAGATCCTTGTTAGGTTAAACCCATATATCCTTCTACAACATTCAACAGGTAAAACTGTTTTTTTTTTACCTCAAGCACTTAATGAATTATGATCTCCTCCTCATATCCTCCATAAAAAAATTACATAATTTTTTTTTTGTAATCTTCTATTATGCCTAGATGGATATTTGATGCCCATTATATACTCTACAACTCTTTTGAACCTGTAGGCCTTCACATCCAGGGTGAGCCATTGAGAGATAGAGATAAATAGATTTTTTTTTTTTTTTTTTTGCTATGCTTTTAGACTTCCTCGGCAGTGAAATCTCTTCAAAAATCTCCCCTGAAGAAGCCCGTGAGGGCGAAACGTGTAGGGTGTAACTACATTTATATAATCAGTTCTAATTTCGGTTCCACGCTTAGTACTGAAATTGTTTTATGTTTCTGTATTTCTTTCTTTGTTTTCAAAATTTGAAATAAAATTCTATATCTTTTTTAATATGTTTGGTATTCATGTTCATGCACCCTGAAAGTCCCATCCTTACTACTGAATTTCCTTAATTCTAAGGGATGTGGTGCAATAAGCATATCTGGCCACTTTCTTGCCACTTTACTGTTACTATTGCTTTGTGTAACTAAAAGGCAGACTTGTCCCACCTGTTGGCCTGTATACAATTTTTGGGCAATTTTTAGACATTTTGCCAAGGCACCCCTGAAGAAACCTAAAGGCACCCTGGTTGAGACAGGCTGGTATAGAACTTCAGGTTGATCCTCCATGATCAATCTCTGGTCATGTTGGCAGTCCACCTAGTTAAGGCAGCCTAACCCCATCCATTCAGATTCAGGCATCCTTTGTTTAGGTGGCTCCTGGCCTGCAGATGGTCCCCAGTGTTCCTTGCTGACAATTATATGCTGTGTTTCCTATCACTCAGTTGGATTGTTTTTGAACATCTAATTTTGTATCTGAATTCCTTTGTCCCTTAGTAGACTAGAAAGACTGCCCAGTCCTCGTGTATAACCTTGACTGAATCTGAATTTCTGTGTTCCTCAGTGTACGCCAAGAAATAGATTTTATGTGAAGTACAAAAGTCCCATTGTTTTGAGTTCTTGGGTTTTTCCCTCCCTTAGGAAACTGAAGAAGGAAGGCTTAGGAGATGTATCTGATAAGCTACAATGTTTGAGTCTCGGTGATCAAAAGGACCCCCAAATTAAATACCTGTCACAGCTGGAAGCATTTTTTCAATTTCCAAAGCAATCTATAGAAATGCATGCATTCAAGGATCAATTGCAGGAAATTCCCGCAAGTAAGTTTCTTTTGCCTTTTTTTCTTTCTTTTTTTTTTTTTTTTTTTTTAGTAAACTGGCATATACACTACTTATTTTCTTTTCTTTTCTGTTTTACAGACACTGTAGTGTGTATATTGACCCTGGCTGACTCCCATCAAAGAAACCCTGGAGATACTCTACTACTCTGCAGACTTGAACAAGGAAATGCGCCTGTTACTGTTCATATACCAACAGCCCAGCTTAAGGCAAGACTACCTTCTGTGGTTTCTAGAGTTCATGTTTATCTTTCATGTGTAAAAAAAAAAAAGGAAGAAAAAACTAAAATTCAGTGTAACTGTGTACATATAGGGATTTCAATAGGAGACACCATTAATTTATAATTAGCTCTTCAAGAGTGGAGGTATATAGTCCCCTGAGCATGTTGGACATGCGTTAAGAGACAGTTAATAGCTGGAGTTACTAATTTTTTTTATATTTTGTGTGTTTGTATATATAGTTGTCCCTTAGCTCAGCTCTGCAGGAGTTTGATGACATTCAGAAGCAGCAGAAAATTGTCAACAATTTAACAGATAAAAAAGAATGGTGGGAAGGACGCACAGCTCTGGATGGCAGCATGAAGGTAAGTTGATTTGACTGGCTTCTGTAGTCACCCACAAGGGCTTGACTTATGGCTGTAGGATCAAAACATTGGGGTTGATTTACTAAAGACAAATTATGCTCTCCAGAGCTTAGTAAATGAGGCAAAGTTTCATTTTACAAAGAATACCCAATCATGCATGGATAAAAAAAAAAAAAGTTTTGCTTGCATATGATTAGATGATAGAAATCGGCAGAACGTCCCCTCAGATCTGGAGCAACTGCACTTAAAGCGCAGACTAATTGCCTTTAGTGAATCAACCCCATTGTGTTCATAAGGTACACTTGTACCATATACAAAGCATTACCAGTAATCTGTGTTAGATCACATGTAAATACAACCACAAACATCAAGGCTATGTTGTAGGCATCAGGGTCTTCATGATTATCTGTGAGCCAGTATCTTAGTCCAAAGTGATTCCAGTTGGGTATTGATCCTGGATGATGCATGAACATAAATGGCCTTGGCCAACTGGGGAGAAAAAGATGAAAGCATGGTTAGGGGAAGTAACAAGAAAATTATCTCCAAAACTTCACCATTGCTAATAAGTTTCTGCCTAGCTCCTCCATTCATGGAAGCCAGTATCACGGTTTCTATGAATTAAATGAGATCCTAGAATGGAGAACAGGTTTGAAAGGTCTGCACCCTACATTCATAGATGTGGAGTTTAAATTTGTTAAATTGTGTAGTGGGCATGAAGGAAGAAATGTATAACCAAGCACTTGTGTGCATAAAACATGCAGTTGATTTTATGACTTGATAAGGAAGCAGCTTTGGAATATGTGTGTGCGCCTCGATCTATTTTCCCATAATAGCGATTGACAAGCTGTGCGAGCACTTGACTGTTGCAGGCAAGCATGGACTGACCTGGAACCACACCTTGGTTTGAGATGGTTTGTTTAGGACAGTTATAGTAAATGTTAAATACTTGAAATGATAGAGGAAGCAAGAAGGTAAAAAATTTTGGTTTCAATGTACCATACTGTATGAACACAATTTTTTCTCTGACATAGTATAGTGCAACATTTTGACCACAATGGTACCATGATGGTAATCATTTCTCTAAAGCCATATTGTTTGTTTTAGAAACTTTCTTACAGGTCTGCAAGGCTTTTAGACCTCATTGGACCTTGTATACTGATTTTTATTAATTTGTTGTGTTATAAAACATTCCATATAATCACGTTGTACACCTTGTTCTTCTAGTAAAATGTATCTGACCGCATTAGCTAACCATTTCGTTAAGAATCAAGCGCTATACATATTTATATATTTTATGTAGATGGGTACATGAGACCATTGCCTATTCTATTTAGGTAGAAATTTGGGAATCCTTTCTCTGTTCTACACAGGCTTTAATTCAGTCACTTGAACACAGATCTTGGGTTGTTGGAAGGTCCTTTTGTTACCGCCCTGCACAGCTCCTGCTCTGGATGAAGAAGCCCAGGTACTTTTAAAAGCTCTTGTAGCCTGTGGTTGGAGAAGAAGAGATCCAGGACTTTTGAAGGTAAACTTGGCTAGTGCTAATTTGTCATTTGAATACCAAGTAAATATTGTATTTAATGTGTCTGTAATAAACAGTATGAATAAATCAAAAATACAATATTTTTTTTGAAATGTGATTGAATCCTTGAAACTTACTGTATAACATTGTGTAAGGGTTCTTTTACACGTGTCCCCTAACAGCAGATTGGAAACTTACTGAGAAAGCCAAAACATGCATTGAAATTGTGAGTTTAAAGCCTCACTTCTGGCTAAAGATGACCTCCTCCATTCCTTCTCACCAACTGCTAATCAGGCCTGAAATGCTTACCTGGTGAAGTAAGATATACTCACATGCATGCTCTCTCCAGGTCCCTCACTGCTAGTTCTTGGTTTGAGATGGCGCTAATTCAGCACTGCAAATTTGTACAAGAACAGTCAGCCCCCTTGAAATGACAACCATCATCTAAGTCCTGAGAGGACCACACCACTGGATATACAATAGGAAGTGTACTTGTCTCTCAGGAAGTGAAGTACAGGTTAATAAAATCAGCATTTAGATTGGGTGCGATGGTGTTCCTGCACTTGGATGTGAAACTTTTCCAGGTGTCATTAAACCTGTACATATCATCACAACTGTTTGTTTCCAGGTAAATTTAGATCTCGTGTGTGGTGTTTTTTTTTTTTTTTTTTTTTTTTTCTCTCTGTGCTCATACTGTGGTTCATACTCCCAATTTTAACCTTTTATAACCACTGGCACAGAAAGTGGTGAGAAATCCAAAATTATTTGGTATAACACAGTGAGATGCTGCACGATCCGAAAAGAAGAGCTGTTCTGTTACCTGGACAGATTTACTGCACATGTGTATTGCAGTTCTGCTCATCCAGCATTTGTAGGTAAAGTGTTGTTTTTTTACACAGTTTCACACCTGCTGTTTAGGAATAGCTAGAGAGCTGTAACAGGACATAGCACGCAATAAAGACCTCAGAACATCTTCTATACACGAACACCATTAGAATGGATGGCAAAAGGAATAGCAAAGGGTCACTAGAATTCCATCAAATGTGGATATTAATCATTGTTACAGTGCTTACTATGGTGGGAAAAGACCTGTGTGAGACCACCAGATTCATGCAGTCTAGTTACTGCAATAAATGAAATTCGAATGGAAACCCTGTTTTAGAAGTTTAGTAGATTTGGTGTGGTATTGATGAAATGTTTGTAGGTTTTTTTTTTTTTTTTTTTTTTTTTTGCCATTATTTGATTTCATTGTAATACATGTTTAACCCTGTGTGTTGGGGTGAAAAGGTTTTAAGACAGGGCAGTATTATTGCATTTCATTTACTATATATTTCCTCAAAAAATTTAAGTGAAGTTGTGCTTTGTGAAAAATGTCTTCACCGATGCCTTCTGTCATTCTTTTTAAACTTATAGGCAATCCTGCAAGGCTGCCATCTCCTAACCACCCAGCAAATCCAGTGTTTTGCCCAGGGGTTTAGTGCCTCTAGACCAGAACAAGTTCAGGAGCTCCTTAATAACTCAATTGATAGACTGAAAACTAAAATTGGACATACAGATGGGCATCTTATTCTGGTGCTGGATAAGGTGAGGGCATTTTATCTTCGTATAAATTTGGCTGACTGTTTTGCATTCGTGGTAAAATGAAGCTGTCAAGACCTACAAAGTGTCTAAGGTACAAACGCATAAGAAATACAATTGGGGTTAATCTGTTTGGGCGACACAGAAAACGTGCTTTAGTATTCATAGATCCTGTTTATAGACCAGAGACTCTGGCACTTTTAGGTGATGGGACACTTGGCAAGGTTTTGAAGACAAACCCCCTGGGTGTACTCCCATATCCCGCTTTGCAAGTTCTCAGTTTTTTGCTAGTACCTGAAGTTGATGGATCTCATCATTCCTAGGTTAAATAGTTTTATTTTCTTTTTTGGATTCTTCAATCAACTCTTCAGTGAACACTTTGCTGTCTTCTAATCAATAGAGACCGTATGCCTGTCTTGATGCAGCCATGGTAAAACTTTGGTACGTGTACCTGAACCTAACATCATGGGGACAACTTGTAATGTTGCCTCAGGTACTGGATTCTGCATTCACACTTGGTGCAACATGTGTCACTAGTCGCAGGGTGTTATACAGATGTAGGGCTGTGATCCAACCCCTTGGATCCCACACCCTGGAGACCCCTCTGGGGGTATGTCTTCAGTGATTGGCAAAGCCTAGACCCTATACAAGAACCAGAAGCTCAACCACTCAAAGCTTAGTCTCAGGTGGATGACCAGGTATTCAATCACACCACAGGCCGCACACTTTACAATCACTTCCACCTAAAGCCTTTATAACTCAGGTGCTACCTCCTGTCCTTTTGCCATGAGGACATTGCAACAGTACGGTCTACACCCAGGTTGTTGTGTACTCTTTCTGGACATACCTACCCTCTTTCCACACCCTATTTCTTGGGTACCCCACAGGTGAATACCCTGACCCGTAGTAGGCGGAAACCAGGCAAAAGGGAGCTACGGCAAAAACTCGGGCAGGCATTAACTTTAACCAAGCCCCACACATCACTCAGACTGATGAGGCTTCCCTCGCCCCGAGCAGGAATCCATTTTAACACCTGTCTGCATCCGATTCTAACTCTCCCAGGCACATTCCTATTTGACTAAAGCAGACTTTTCTGCAAAATGCCACAATTTCGTGGACAAATAACAGCTTTCATATAGCCATCCCTGATTAGATCTCAAATACTAGGCTCTTTCTCCAGCTCTATGGTCTCTTACGGAGTCATATTCTGATATGTACATCCTGGAAGAGACAGACATGGAAGAGAATAAAGAGGGACCTGGAGGTGGTAGGGAAAACTTTTCCCCCTCAGGTGCCTAATGTTACAGCTTCACTCAGTATGCTAGCCTGTATTGAATTGCTTACTTCTGTTGTGTGCAAAAGCTTTCGCATTGTTGCTCCCTCTGTCCCGCAATGCCCCTTTTTGAGGAGATCTGCTAAATCTGAAAAAAGACACTTCCTGTGTTTGAACAAATAGAGCCATATATGACTATTTGGGTAATCCAAAAAAGATTTTCTGAAAACCAATGAAGGCTGTATCCAAAGAAACAAAGTTAAAAAATAAATAAATTTTTGTCCCGGTGGTAGACCTTGCCATCTCAGTCTTAAATAAATATCTTACTGTACCTATAGAAAATCCTTCATTCAGATATTCTGTAGTTATGAAGTTTTGAAATGCTCTGAAAATGTTCCGTATTGCAGGCCCAGCTCTGCAACCAGCTACTCTACTGGTGCAATTGCCATCTGTCAGACCGTAGCTAAGCGGACTAAGTCAATGAACAAACCGCATGATCCTGAATTCTAGGCCTGTACTTTAACTGAACAGTTAAAGTAGTTGCCTTCTGCTTTTCTCTTTGGTGTAGATGCTTTAGAACAAGTAATTTAAAGAATTTTCAGAATTGCTGTAATTTCCATTCAAGTGCACAGAATCTGATGGCTCAAAACTTGGTCAAGCTGAAACTGCCTTTGGTTTGAGGTACTTGACATCAAAGATGTCACAAGAGGAAAGCTGCTTTTTCCACAGTGGAAAGTTCAAAAATCCCCTTCCTGGGGAGCCTTTACCTCCTTAAGACACACAGGCCTAGAACTGAAGCCTAGGCAGAATGTTGCAGTGCTAAGTTCAAATCTTTAATTTCAACACAGGACCTAACCCACAAAGCCCATAAAAACTTCCCTAAAGCCCTGTTCCCAATAAAGGGGCGTCCTCATTTCTAAGAGTAAAGGGCTAATTGTTACAGCTTGCCTCTTTCACAGAACTCTGGGTTCAATCAATGATTTCAAAGCGGTAAAAAGTAGAGTTCAAGAATCTACCCCCTCGCTGCTTTCTTCTCTCAGCTAAAATCTACTCAAGGACAGAATTGCCTGAACCAATCACTTGTCGCAGAGAGTAGTTGTTCCAGCACCTCCAAGAGGACAGGTTCACAGGATTCCATTCAAACCTGTTCACGGTACCAAAGCCCAAAGGTAGGGGGGGGGGGGGTATTTTGTGTTGGACCTAAACCAATACCTTCCACAGTTTCTCATAGAATCCTCAAGATCATTTATTGCTACTGTCATAAGTGGAATACTTGGCATCTGTAGACATCCAAGATGCTGATCTACATGTTCCCATTTATCCACCTCATCAGCGCTTTCTATTCTTTGCAGTAGAAGACGATAACTGCAGTTTGGCACACTGCCATTTGTTCTATCCCCTGCCTCCCCAGAATATTTGCTACTCTTCTTGTCCTGAGAACTCAGGGTGTCCAGGTCATAAACCTCTGCCTCCTCTCCTTTTCCAGCTATCTACAAATGCCCACAGGACAATTCAGATGCTTCAAGCTTTTGGTTAGATGATCAACTTTTAAAAAAACTGCTCTCCAACCTTCTTTTTCTACTGGAATAATTGGGTCTGATGCTAGACACATCCCAAAGCAAAAGTCTTCTTCCGGAACTCAAGCTCAGGATTTGAGATAAAAAATACATCCCTCTGTGAGATTCTCCATGAGTTTTCTTAGTCTCATGGTTGCCTCCTTCGAAGGCTTTTCTATTCACCCAATTTTATTTGAGACCTCTCCAGCACATATTGTTAGCATGGAACAAGTAGCTCTCTATCTTGACCTTCCCATGCTCCTCTCCAGCCAACCAATGAATTTCCTAGCTTGGGTCTCCAGCCCAGCCTTAACCATGGGAAGGACAATCCTTTCATATCACTGGAAAGTGATGACAAGAAGATACCAGTCTTTCAGCCCAGGAGGAGTGTGCCCATCATCCACAGTTGAGGGAACATGTTCATCTGTAGAAGCCAAGCTTACCATCAGCATCCTGGAGCTCAGAGCAATACGGATGGATCTGTACCACTGGATCCCTCTTTTAAAAGGACAGCCAGTCAAGGAGCAATCAGACAACCTCACAGGTGTGGCCTACATCATCCACCAAGGGGATACCAGGAATCATACAGCCTTGAGGGAAGCTAGCCAGATTATCTCATGGATGGAGGAAAACTGTCCAATGGTCTCTGCTGTCCACATGAAAAAAGTGAACTGGAAGGTGGATTACTTCAGCCATCAATACCTTCACCAAGTGCAATGACCCTTCACCCTGGCATCTTTAACCTGCTGTGCAGAGATGGCGAACCCCAGATGTGGATACCATGGCCTCCAAAGTAAGTTACCTCTTTTGCTAGGACTAAGGTTCCTCTAGCACTGGCATTCAAAGCCTTCATAATTCCCTTTTGATACCTTCCTTCCAGTGCACATTTGTACTTCACCTGCCCCACAAAATAGAGAAAAAAAAAAGTAATTCTCGTTGGACAAAACTGACCCAGAAGAACCTGATACACAGACATACTCTGACTACTAGAAGATAACTGGCCTCCCAACAGGCCAGACCTGTTGTCTTGGGTCCCAGTATTCCATTCTGCTGCTTGGTCACTGGCTTTAACTATCTCTGAATGTGAGGAGTGGACTATTTTACCCCGGTGGGAACTGAAAGGAGGATAATCTGGATAATCGTGCATGACATGACTGTATATTAACTGCCCGTGTGGAATATCAACTGCTTCATGTTTAGTTGTTAACCTGTTCGTGCCTAAGGGTAAAACAAATCTTAACGCCTAACCACAATTTTGCAACTTTGACATGTTAGCAAAACCGTACATATCACAAATACTTTGTGCATCCAGATGGATTATACCTTGTTTTTTTTTTTTTTTTTTTTTTCAGGACAAATTGGGCTTTCATTTGCTGGTAAATGGTAATGGATATTTCCATACTTTTTTTTTTTCTTTTTGTTATCAAAGGAAAACTGGCCCAAAATAGTAAAAAGAAATATATTTTTTTTAAATTTTAGTTTTATATTTCTTGTTACTACCATAATCTACCACCAAAGAACAACCCAAAAGAATTTCTCCTGCTCCCGATGATTGTGGCGATACCACACATGTTGTTGTTTTTGTACCCGTAGTATGGCCCAGAAATAATAGTGCACATTTTTGCTTTTTTCTTTAATCTGCCACTAATTGAGATTGATATTAATTAAAAAAAAAAAAAAATCCTGACTTTGACTCACACTAACCCTGGCACTGGCCTAGATCAAACCTTCATCTAGGTAATTCTTAATTTTATTTTATTTATTTTGCACACACTTATTTTTTTTCTCTCTGAAGGGGCAGAGGGAGATGCATTGCATCTCTCTCCTCCATCCAGAGAGTGAAAACACAGGGGGTGGGCTTCACAGTGATTGATCACTGTGATAGCCAATCAGAGGAATCACAGCAAATCAGGTGACCTGGAATCAGGAGTTACAGGTCCCAATCATTAGAACGGAACCCAGGGCTCACAGTGAGACCCTGATCTCTGCTGGGAGCGTGTCGTGCGGCATGCTCCCAGCACAGGAAAATGTCACCAGCACACCGAGGATCACCAATATGGGTCCAAAAGAATTAATGAACGATCACATAGTTACAGCAAGGCAACATTTCGGAGTCTCGCAGGACCCCTTCATCATGCTTGGCTTTTATCTGTGTTAAAGCAGTAGTAAACTCTGCAAATGCTACTTTGATTTTAATCTATTCCATTAAACAAAGGTAGTGTCATCATTATTCATTATACACACTGCTGCAGCCCAAATCGCAAATTACTATTTTTGTGAAGTTGTATAAATCGTTTCTCCTGGGGTTCAGCGATGCCATTTTAGGTAATTTTTTGTGAGTCCTCAATGCATAGTATTTCCACCCTTTCATTTAACTGTTGCCAAAAATGTCTTATCCAAGCCTCATTCTTGATCTGATGTTCCTATGGCAACCATGCTCCGCCATTCACAACCAACCTGTTTTACTCCACAGGTATAATAAATAGTGAAGTGCTGCTTTACCATATATACCTTGTGGAGTAAAACAGGTGAGCAAACATATGTCAGACATTGATCTGCTAGATATATCGCTGTATGCCTGGGGTTACACACCTCCCCCCCCCCCCCCCCCCCCCCCATGTAATGTGTAGCAGGAAGTGCAGGAACAATGTGTAATCTTGTGGGTTTTGGAAGCTGTGCCACTGGGTGCGGAAAGCCAAGACATGGCATCCTGTCTATGAGGCGACAGCACACAAGTTGTGCCGTGAATCAGGGAAGATTTGTGTATGCACCAGTAACGTCATTAGATATATTGGGGCACGTTGCAAAAAAACAGAGCAGGTAAGGAGAAATTCACAAGCGGGGATTATTAAGGTTTGTTGTGCTGTTTTCATTGTGATAAAGTTTTAAGAGTTTACGATCACTTTTAAGTACATTTTGTCAAAAATGCAGTAAACCATTTTGGATTCTTTACTTTGGGTGTGGTACTCTGCTGGTCATAACTTGGAATCCAGCTGAAGTTTCTTCTCAGAAAACTTCTCCACCTGTGCAAACAGCCTGTCAGGCAACAACCCATTCTACCGTCTTACTCCACATTACAAAGTACCTGTAATAAAGTGGGCGTTAATACACACTGGATCTGGCACCTCTATGTTACATTACACATCCATAACTTGAAGTTCTGGCAGTTCCAGGTTTGTACACAGCTTAATGCCAACTTTGATAGAATCAGAGACACTTTGTGCATACTGGATCTGGAATCAAAGGCCTACAGTAGCTGGTTTGAAGTTCTTCATTGTCTTAGACACTTTTGGCCATGACAGTTCCACTTTAAGGCTTTTATTGTTTAACATTGCACTGAGCCTTTAAAATGTATGTAACTTGTTTTTTTTTTTTTTTTTTTTTTTTTTCCACCCTCATCCAACAATAGCACCTCCAGAAGCTGCCCTGGGAGAGTATGCCCTGCTTGATGACCAGATCAGTCACTCGTCTTCCGTCTCTGCACTTCCTGCTGAACTACAATCTCCTTAGAAAGGTATGCTGCTGATTTTCAATAAGTTTTATTTACATCTGAGAGTTTTACAGCTGTCCTGTGCTGTTCAGTTACAGAAGCCTTTGTATTCTCTGAAAGTGTTCACTTAATACAAAGCGCTCTGTAATTGGGGGAGGGGAGGGGGGGCAAGCACAGTGACTGCATGCAACTCTGCTGCCTCAGTAGCTGAGACCAGAAGGTCCAACGTAAGAGCGTCAGAAGCATAACAATGGTCATGCTCCCGGCACTCAGAAAACTGTAAACTGTAAATTAAAGAGACAAGTTGACAAGGTAGCATGCACCTCGGACTTAACACTCTACTAATCAAAGCCCTTTGTACTCCAGGAGTTCTTTGAGTTCAGCTTTAACAATGAGGGACTGACCACTCGCATCATCAGCTGGGTGGTATGTCGCATGCACTTTTTTTTTTTTTTTCACCGCTAATCAGGAAGCATTGCGATGCTGCTGGAACTCTGATCTAAGGTCCTTTCCTACTATCCATATACAGTGACTTTAGTCATTAAAGTTTTCTGACCCCATTAGCTACAAGCTGCTAGGTTTTTCAGCAACTGAGGCCTTGGCTCATGCCCTTTGCTTAGTTACATCACCACCACATGTGCTACAGTTCTGAATGTAGTGGTAGAGGGAATGTTCCTGCTGCAACGGATGATCCCAGCTCATGCTCTGATTATGGGGATATTCCCTCTGTACCCTGTGTGAGGGCACTGATGGTCTGTAATCTGGAATCCTGCTACCCTCTGGTTACAAGGTTTACCTCATCATTCTCTGGTGTCTCCATCAGGTGAGGCTGAGTGTTCTGCCTAGTCATTCGAAGCCTCTACTGCAGTCGTACACAGCTGTGGCTAAATGTACCCATTCATTGTTGATGCTAACTTCAGAGGCTCAAAGTGCGCTTCTGTATCTTCCCTTGTGGAGTGTGTCTCCATTCGGCCTTTAAGCGGGCCAACTGGGCAACTAGTTGCAGTGACTGTTTCTGCTTCTAATTCATTCACTGCAGTCTTTCTGTTTGAGATTCATTTTGAGTAACTGCAGCCTTCTGCCATTATCTCAGGGCCCATTTTAGCCTTTTATTAATGCAGTATGTACTAGCCGGCATCTGCAAGATCAGCCTTCTGTCTGCAGCCTTTGGTCTTTCAGAGCTCCTACAGCTGCAAAGACCTTTCTATTACACACACTATTTGAGGTATTCCTCTATGGAGACTGGAAGCCCCCTAAAGGGTCCTGTGTGTGTTGGATATGTTTACCTTTGAGAGAGATTTTGTTAAAAAGTGGTCCATGCACAGTGTGGATCTGCCAGTGTCCCACCTTAACAGGGAAACCACTAGGCCAGTAGCAAGCAGGCGTTATTCCTTTTTTTAAAGCATGCTACTGAGCAGCAACTTGGATCTCTACCTAATGCCCAGTTTCACTGGTGGGTTCTGCCCATCACCATGTACTGGTTGATGCCTTGATTAGTCAAACCATGGCCGATTTGGGTAAATTCTAAAAGGTGTTCTCTTCACTGCTGTGGCAAACCCCTTTCTGAGAGTTGGTGGAGCAGTTGTCTGAAGCTCTACACTTCATTTTTGATGGCTCGTTGGAAGCCTCTAAGCTGTTTTCTACGGGTCTGTTCTCCACACAGATGCACAGAGCATGCTGGCTATAGTACTGGGCGACAGATGCTGCATCCAAGCAGCACTCAACCTACTTGGTCTTTGAGGGACAGCGTCATCCTGGATCTACCCTGCCCCTAGCTAACCTATCATGAAGGATATCACTGGAGGTCAGAGTGTTGGCCTGCCTCAGGTATGAAATCTGTGGGAAGGTCTGCCAAATCCCATCCTTTGCCTACTGCAGGAGTAAGCGAAGTAGAACTCATACCACCTAAGCCCAATTATCCAGCAGCTTGCAAAGCTGGAGGTATGAAACCTGTAAAGCTTTCAGAATAGTCTTCAGCGAGAAAGTGCACCCCACCTTTCTAAGTGGGAGGGATGGATGCCAATTTCTACAAGTCCTTAGGATGTCTGCACATAGGCTAAGCCACTCTCCATCTGTGTACTCTCAACTCCCCATGCTACTGTGCAGATTGATAGACTTCTCCTGTGGATCCCTCAACCCAGGAATTCTGCTTTGTGAGCTTGGCCTTAGGAGCTGTGTTCTTCCCTGACTACTGTCCTTTTTCTTCAGAGCAGTTCTTCTCCCCTAGGGCATATCGGACTACTAACCGCACCTGGTGCCATCAGTTTCATGGTCCCTCTCCTCCTCCATACCTACTCTCTGAGCCATGTGATCACCAGGTTCAATACTGGTTATTCTCCGACCTAATGGGATCCTAAATTCTTAGTGTTTATTGCACCTAGTTTTTCTCAAGGTGTTTAGCTCTGGTAACATGTCATGGCATTCCCATTTCTGGACACTGCAGTGTTGTCTTGTGAAGAGAGCAGTTGCCATAGGTCCTAGTAGATGACATTCCCCCAATCGGCTAAATGCTTGCTAAATACACATGTCTGCTCTCGACTGCTTATGGCTCTGGAAACTGTCCATCTCCTGTAGAAAATGTTAACAGGCATGGTTCTTTATTTAAAAGGCCATGGTATTTTTTGCCCCATGCTTTCTGCCATTACCAACGGATCTATCTGTTTCCCAACCATTGCAGGAGTTTTGGGTGTTAAGGGATAATCTACTTTGAAGCACTTCCGATCTCTGCATGGTCTACCACAGCCTCTTTATTCTGATGTTGAGGATTTCATATTGAAGCAGATTGGTCTGTCCCCTAAGGAGCAGGCTCTTAAGCTGGCTTCTTTCATGCGAGAATTCTTGTCAGGACTACAATCTGGTTTTCCAGAACAGGCAGTTCCTCCTACTTCCTGGTATTCCCCTTTTTGGTCAGGTCTCCTGGTTCAGATACTGCTGGACACCATCGAAAGTACTGGTGTGTTGTCTTCTTTCAAGAAGACTGGGAGTCCTTCCTGCAGTTTGGGTCCTGTTGGTGATCCCCTTAGGGGCAATCCTCCTGAAGGCCTGTTCGTCTCAATTGGTAGATTCTGGATTTGGTAGAGGTTTCATGTACCAAGGTGGATCTCCGACCATACGTTGCAGGTGAAGGGCCCTGGGTCACCCTGGGATATCTGCAGGCAGTGCAAACTAGTTTTTTGCTGCAAATGTCCGCCAAAAAAAAAACGGGGAATACCTTAATAATTTTGTGGGACCTGTCCTCCATGAGGTTAGACCCCCTCTTTCTTGGCTGATTTTGATACCCATGAAGTTGGCCCTTATTTTGATTTATTTATTTTCCCTTCCTGTTCTGGATTCTTTCCATGGTATACTACAATAGCAAAAAAAAGGGTATGTGAATCCCTTAGAATTAACTGGTTTTCTGTAGTAAATTACCATATAATGTGATCTAACCTTCATCTAAGTCACAACAATAGACAAACATGATGTGCTTAAGCTGATAACACAAACAATTCTAATTTCTTATGTCTTGAACACACCCATTAAAAATTCAGCACTGGAGGGAAAAGTAAGTGAACCCATAGACTAATTACTTCAATGGAGTTAGTTTGCACACTGGAGTCCAATTAATGAAATGAGTTTGGAGGTTTAGAGCTACTTTGATAAAACACTCAGACGTTTTAAGTTTGCTGTTCATAAGAAGCATCAGCTGATGTGAACCATGCCTTGCAAAAGGAAATCCCTGAACACATACAGTCAAAAGTAGTTGATCTGCATAAGGCTGGAAAGGGATACAAAAGCAGTCTCAAAGTGTTTAGGCATTCATCAGTCGACAGCCAGACACATTGTCTATAAATGGAGACCGTTTAGTACTGTGGCTACTCTTCTTCCAGAATTGGGCACCCAGCCAAGATGACCTGCAAGGCACAATGCAGAATCTTAAATGAAGTAAATGAACCCACGAGTAACCGCTAAATGCTTAGAGACATCAATGGAATTGCCAAACATGAGTATATGAGTCTACCATACAAGTCTTTGAACAGGCAGGGTGTTCATGGCAGAACACCACAGAGGAAGCTGCTGTTTTCCAAAAAAGAAAAAAACATTGCTGCATGCCTTAAGTTTGTCAAAGGGCTTCTTGGCAAACCACATCACTACTGGGAAAATTTACGGGAAAAGTACTAAGCACTATGTATGGTGCAAAAAGAGCACAGCTTATTTACATCAAAACATCATCCCAACAATGAAATATGGTGGAGGGGAACATCATGTCTTGCTTTGCTGTCTCAGGGCCACTTGCCGCCATCAAGGGTAAAAATGAATTCCCAAGTTTAACAAAATATTCTACAGGACAATGTTAAGGTGGTTATCTGCCAGCTAAAGCTTAATAGAAGTTGGGTGGCACAGTAGGACAAAGACCTCAAGCAACAAAGTAAATAAATCACAGACTGGCTTGAGAAAGACAGACATTGTGCCTTTTTGAGGTGGCTAAGTCAGAGCCTTGACCTTAACCCCATAGAGATGCTGTGGAATGACCTCAAGAGCCATTCACACCAGACATTCTATGAATGTGTTTGCACAGAAGCAGTTTTGTAAAGCGGAATGGTCAAAAATTCCTCCTGAGCAATTGTGCAGGTTTGATTCAGAGCTACCGAGAGCTTGAGGTCATTGCTGCCATAAGAGTTTTGACCAGCTACTAACTCCAAGGGTTCACTTACGGTTTCCTCCAGTACTGTGAATGTTTAATGAATGTGTGTGTTCAATAAAGGCACAATTGTTTGTGTGTAATCAGCTTAAGCACATTGTATTGGTCTATTGTAGCGTAGATGAGGATCAGTCCACATTATATGGCAAATTACTACAGAAAACCATTTCATTCCAAGCGGTTCAGATACTTTTTTTTTTTTTTTTTTTTTTGCCACTGTATTTGCTGTTCTAATATGACTTCTGTCCCTGGTCCTCTGGATGCTTCTGCTTCCCTGGATCTAGGTAGCAGGAGCATGTTTAGCTTTGTGGCTCTTTTAAGGTCTGTATATGCAGGATGTTTTTTCAGCTGGATCCCTCTTCGGTCTCACCCAGAGGTGCCTCTTGAGTACTGGTAAAAGTGGGTCTAGCTTGATCCTCTGATCCATCAGCGACGTTGTCCACCTCAGCAATTTATTATTAGGTTCTAACTAGCATTCCATGACTTTCCCTGTTAGGGTAAGGTAAACGGAAGCACACCTTCAGTCATGATGACTTAGTGGGATCAAATCCAGGGTTCTCTAGGTGAACTCTGAAGTCCCTTTTTACACCCTTCGAGGTGATGGTTCTAGTCTGTTTCGGCATTCTTCCTGGTGAGTCTCACCTTAGCGAGGTGGGTAAGTTTTCAAATAATCTATAGTCCTGGAGTGTTTTTGTGTTGGGTTTGTTGTGTGTTTTTTTTTTTTTTTTTTTTCCTTCCTCCTAAGTTACTTGTCTGCTACGTGTTCTTACTGGAGGCTTGAAACCCTTATTTGTTGACAACAAGGGTTTGGGTTTTTCTCCCCCAGTGAGAATCTATTGTTGGTGGGTTTAGGTTGATTATCTTCTTGTTTGGTCCGTGGTGCAGTGCTCCTTTTCATATTGTCATTCCTCTCTGGCTGGTGACCACTGACCATTCAGATTGATGCTCCTTTGTCCTCCCTCTAGTCCTGTTGGCAGGATTCCCTATTGGGCAAGAGATTCGGCCTCTTCCATCGTCCGATTTAGGCATTAGTCCTTCAGGTGGCTTTTTGGGCTGCCAAATGTCCTCAGTTTTTATGTTTGGCTTGTTAGTGGTGCTGCTGTTTCCTCACTCCTCAGTTGGACTGCTTTTGGATGTCCCAACAGTAAGGACATCCTGTGTCCTACAATGGACAAGAAAGATAATAGGATTATTGTATCACCATAAAATACCTTGGCGGCCATTAAGGACACAGGTTCCAGCCCTCATGCTCTTGGTAATATTACCACCTGAGGCATACAGGGAAGATGAGGGGTTATCTGGGCTGGCCTATAGTTGTTGTTTGCCAATGTCCAGATACTCCTGTAGGTATCTTTCTAACATGACCGCTATGATTTCCTGTGTCCTTCAAGAAAAGAAGAAAAGATTTTTGTAGCGAGTACCAAAATCTATTATATTTTGACACTAACAGCCTTGGATTTTTAACTGTTGCTTTCCTTCCTGCAGCACCAGCCTCAGAACAGCCTTGTTTGTGGAGTGGATCCTAAGAAAACATTTTATGTCCTTAATCCCCATTCAAATTTACCAGGGACAGAGGAGCGATTCAGGGACTGGTTTAAAAAATGAGTGTGTTTTGTCTTTCTGTCAGCTGTTCGGTGTGATCTTTATGGAGAAGGATTTTTCTACTTTTTGTAGCAAAGTTAAAATCCTTTTACTGGGGTGAACTTAATATTCATTGCAGGCAATTTGCTATTATATAGCAGCTGAAAGTAGGCTAAATATCTTCGAGCTGTTCAGCTATTTTGATGCAATGCAGCTTGGGTCTTTAGAAAAAACAAACTGCAGATCATAGACAAAAATACCATTTTCTGCTTGGCCTTAAAGTGGTATTAAAACCAAAATGTATTATATTGCAGCTTACCAATCAGTAGATGTGATGGCTGCATTAGTGTCTTTTTTTTTTTTTTTTTTTTTTTTTTTTTTTTTTCCTTTTCTCTTCACCTGGTGATCAGGCCAGTAACTCACCACCTCATGTATTAGAGTGCCTCCACTCTGGATGAAGGGCACCTTTTGGACAGCATTGTCAGTCTAGGGGAAGGGGATTGTTGGTGTATATACTGAGAATCTGCTAGTACATCTAACAAATTGGAGCCAAACTCCCACTGCAGCTCACATTGCAGTTGCACAATCAATTACAGCAAACATTTTTTTTTTTTTTGGGATAAGGGTTTTCCATGAATAAATGAAAGCTGATCATTGTAAACACCCCTGTTGATGGTAAATAATTTATCCAAATGCTTTAACTGCTACATCTGCAGGAGAGCTTTTTCTGTTGATAAACAGACTTACTGGCTGGATCACCAGATGAAAAATAAAGGAGAGCCTTAAAAAAAAAAAAAAAACTAATGTAGCTAACACATCTAAGAATTGGTAAGCTGAAATACTCGTATAATTTGCTTTTAGGTTTAATGCTGCTTTAAAGTTAAGCTCTCTTGGTTTTTACAAAGTCAACACATACTAACATTCTTTAGTTTGGCAGATGAAACTATTCAATATATTTTAACTGGGCCTCCTGCACACAAGTGAAAAAAAGAAAAAACTGTTTGTAGCCTTGTAGCTTATTCATATCTGAAGACTGGTGCATTGATGTCTATGGGACAATGTACACAGCTGCGTAAAGATCTGTAATATGGTGATGCTACGTTTTTGAAGTCCAACATGGTGCTCCCTTAACAGCAACACAGCATTTTTTTTTTGCTGAAATCTCCAAGCGTTCTTGGAAAATGATATCCTGCTTTCAAAGATCATTTTCAGTGATGAGCTTGTTCTTAACCATCAGTAAATTATAATGTCCACATGCAAGAGGCCATAGAGTATAATTCCAGCCTAAAACTAACTATGCTTAAAAATGTTCCCTCCCCCTCATGCTATTTATGCTGCCCTACCTGTGTAAAAAGATCTGTATACTTGCTCGTTTTTACTCCACTCTGGGCCAGTCATGTTATCTGCAGCCCTGGTTCCTTTGTGTCAGGCAGGAGCTGATGTAGGGGAGAGGAGGGAGCATTGACCATAGCTGTGACATAGGAGTAGATAGTCCCTATAGGTAGCAGGAGTGGGTAGGGAACTTTTTAAAGACTAACTGGTGTTAGGCTAGAATTCTACTTTAAGGGCTCATTCACTTGTATGTTGATTATGAAGAATGAAGCAACACTCATCAATGCAATGCATCAGATGACATTTTATGGACAGTTACTGCAGAAACCAGTTCATTTCGAGGGGGTTCACATACTTTTTTTTTTTTTTTTTTTTGCCACTGTATGTGCATTTAACAGTTTAGGTATATCATTTTTACATTTAATAGCCTCCTTGTTTAGACACCCAAAAACTCCAACTGTCACTCAAGTGACTCTAGTATTCTTTTCTCTTCTCCTTGCTGCTACATAAAAGATGTAGGGAGGCGAAAGCAGTGGTAGAGGAGTTTGGTTAGCACAGAGAGTAAAGGTGGGTATACACTGGCTGAAAACCGCCCAAAAATTATGGTTCAGCAGGACCTGGCTGACATTCGGCCCGTGTGTACAGCTCCTCATCTGACAGAAGCCAGTCTCACGAAACCAGCATCCAATCAGCTGGTGCCAGCACACACATCCACTGTGTCCTGGTAGGGGCAATGGTTCCCTTGTCAGATTAGCGGGGAGAAACGTCCAACAAACATTGTATGTGTTTAGTATGGTGATCTGTAGGGTTTTTTTTTTTTTTTTTTTTTTTTTTTTTGTCCAGTCTGAGTTGAACGAAAAAAACTTCCTGTGTGTACCCAGCATAAGGCGCAAGATGGGAGGGGGCTGTGCTAGGAAATTGACTCTTGTGAAGCAGAAGAAAATTACAAGGCAATTTAAAAATAATTTATTAAAGGGAAAAACATTGCAGTAAACATTAAAATACTTTATTTTATTTCTCTATTGTGTGTTGTGTTTTTGTTTAAAAAAAAAAAAAAAAAAAAAGTTGGTGACAGTGTCGTGTCTCCCATGTTTCTAAATTTATTTTCATTTTGGGGTAATAATTCAATATGCCTGTGTCTGCACTCTAGATTATTATACATTCATACTTTGTACTGTTCGCTTGAGATGCTTTTAATCTGTTTTGTAGTGAACCTGGATGGACAGGTGTTGTTAGATCTTCTCCAAAGTCTGAAGCACTGCAGACAGCACTAACAACACAAGATCTTTATATGTGAGTATTTCTTTTTGGCATTTGTTCTGTAGTCTAGATATAAACGTAATCTGGTTACTGTGAATTTGTTGGCTAATGTCAATATTTTCTCTTTGTGCAGTTATGTGGGCCATGGAGCAGGTGCGCATTTCTTGGATGCACAAACTCTTCAGAGGTTGGACTGTAATGCAGTAGTGTTGCTGTTTGGATGCAGTAGTGCTGCTTTATCTGTCAGGGGAGATCTAGAAGGTGCTGGTTTAGTCTTGAAATACCTAATGGCTGGATGGTAAGTTTTGCAACTACTATATTCACGAGATCACCATACAGAAACCTGTCACATTGTTGCCTCTAAGTGCTACAATCTACTCATTCAGGCTTCTGTACAGTAGTGACAGGACACAGTGCATCTACATGTTCATGACTGCTTGGGTTACGCTGCAACCTTCAGTTGAATGGGACAGTGGCCAAAAAGAGGAAAAGCTTCCCTGCCTAGGCATAACCCCTCCCAGCTCATTGAAGCCACAGTGTTGTTCTAGTGTCTGTAGGTGATTGATGGATGGACGGTAGCTGGACCACACCGAGAAGATAGGGGATGGCCTTTTAACGTTGCCCATCAGCCCTGGGTCCTGCGGGCTATGCTAACCAGGGTACCTTGTACCCAGTAATGTCTCTGGCAGGGTGCTTTTCAGGTCCAGGATGGTTGGACTGATGGTAAGTCATGTCCCTGAGGGCCCCTTGGGTCATGCCTGCCATAATGGCAAAGATTGGGTTTTATAGTGGACCTGAAGCCTGGACTGGTGAGTGCTTCCTTGGATGGAAGGCCTTTATGTGGTTATGCTAATTAGATTCTTCCCTTAATGTAAGGACCTTTTCATTTTAGATGTATTGAGGTTTGATCAACTCATTGATTTATCATTTTTTAACAGAATATGCAATACACCCCTCACATTTTTGTAAATATTTTATTATATCTTTTCATGTGACAACACTGAAGAAATGACACTTTGCTACAATGTAAAGTAGTGAGTGTACAGCTTATATAACAATGTACATTTGCTGTCAACTCAAAATAACTCAACACACATCCTTTAATGTCTAAACCTCTGGTAACAAAAGTGAGTACACCTCTAAGTGAAAATGTCCAAATTGGGCCCAATTATCCATTTTCCCTCCCCGGTGTCATGTGACTCGTTAGAGTTCTTTGCCATGAGGTGCCATGTTGAACTTCCAGTGACTAGTAAGAGAGAGTGAGAGCGATACCACCAAATTCAACACACCTGCTCCCCATTCGCACTTGAGATCTTGTAACACTAAGGATGTAAAAAAAAGAATTGGTGCTCTACATAAAGATAGCATAGGTTATAAGAAGATTGCCAAGACCCTGAAACTGAGCTGCAGCATGGTGGCCAAGACCATACAGCGGTTTAACAGGACAGGTTCCACTCAGAACAGGCCTCGTCATGGTCGACCAAAGTAGTTGAGTGCATGTGCTCAGCGTCATATCCAGAGGTTGTCTTTGGGAAATAGACGTATGAGTGCTGCCAGCATTGCTGCAGAGGTTGAAGGGGTGGGGGGTCAGCCTGTCAGTGCTCAGACCATACGCCGCACACTGCATCAAATTGGTCTGCATGGCTGTTGTCCCAGAAGGAAGCCTCTTCTAAAAATGATTCACAAGAAAGCCGCAAACCGTTTGCTGAAGACAAGCAGACTAAGGACATGGATTACTGCAACCATGTCCTGTGGTCTGATGAGACCAAGATAAACTTGTTTGGTTCAGATGGTGTCAATCATGTGTGGCAGCAACCAGGTGAGCAGTACAAAGACAAGTGTGTCTTGCCTACAGTCAAGCATGGTGGTGGGAGTGTCATGGCCTGGGGCTGCATAAGTGCTGCCGGCACTAGGGAGCTACAGTTCATTGAGCGAACCATGAATGCCAACATGTACTGTGACATACTGAAGCAAAGCATGATCCCCACCCCTGGGACGCAGGGTAGTATTCCAACATAATGACCCCAATCACACCTCCAAGACGACCACTGCCTTGCTAAAGAAGCTGTAGGAAAAGGTGATGGACTGGCCAAGCATGTCTTCAGACCTAAACCCTATTGAGCATCTGTGGGGCATCCTCAAACAGAAGGTGGAGGAGCGCAAGTTCTCTAACATCCACCAGCTCTGTGATGTCGTCGTGGAAGAGGACTCCAGTGGCAACCTGTGAAGCTCTGGCGAACTCCATACCCAAGAGGGTTAAGGCAGTGCTGGAAAAGAATGTTGGCCACACAAAATATTGACACTTTGTGCCCAATTTGGACATTTTCACTTAGGGGTGTACTCACTTTTGTTGCCAGCAGTTTAGACATTAATGGCTGTGTGTTGAGTTATTTTGAGGGGACAGCAAATTTACA